TTATGGTAAAAATTGAAACTTGTTTTGGCGATTAATACTTATACTTACATTTTTAGAAAATTTTAAAAATACCCTTGGGTACAAATCAATTTTTTAAAATCCATTTTTTTTTCATTACTATTCAACTTCATTTCTTTGTTTAATCATTTTTTAAATATAATTTTCATATTTTTATTAGATTTTGTTTTTTTTATTTTTTTATTTTTTTTAATACTTTTTTAGTCGTCCGGGATTTGCTCTGTTAGAACGGTTGAACCGGCCAATTTACTTATTAGACTAGTTGATTCACTTCCGAGCTATGTCCGATTAACCGTTCCGATTTGAATTTTCCTGCACTGATTTGACCCAATTTATCAATCCTACCTGTAGTCAATATTCATGACAACAATCAATCAAAGATTTGAACAAATTCGTGTATCTATAGTCCTTTAAACTTCAGTATATTTGGCTGAGGGAAGTTAAGGGTTAAAATATTCTCTCATTATCTCAAGAAGTCCGAACGAGCTTCCCTGACCTTATTTTTTAATGAAAAAAAAAAAAAATACTATGTGGCTATTTACTCTTGATATAAAGATGTCATGTCTTAGCCATCAGATGTGAGATCTGACAACTTAGAATCGCTCATAAAGTTTGAAAAAGATTTGTTCTAGAAACACTTCTGAAAAAATAAATAATTTTATTATATATATTCTCAAAAAAAAAAAAAAAAGAGCTTAAACTTTCGTTTACCAATATAAATAAAGGATGTGGTTTGTATAAAGTTGAGGCCCCAAACAATCAAAGCAAGGCGCACTTTCAAATAGTATCGAAAGAGATCGTTTCAATACGAAAAATCCTTATGATGACCTAAAAATTTATTTTCATCTCTAATTGTAAAACTTAAAGCTCCAAAGATAATATACATCTAGTAGATTTTTCAACACTTGAAAATTGATGGCCTAAATAATATATAACAAGAAGCATTATTTTCAAATTTTAAAATCTTTTTTTTTTATTTACATCAATGCATCTCAAGGTCGCGATGATTGGATTTGAGGGTTTTTCAGCATTGAAACAACTTCTTCTAGTGAATTTTTGAGGTATGCTTTAATTTGATTATTTAGAGCCTGAACCTTACACACACTAGAAAAGAAAAAAGGGCTAGTGTTGCTGGTTATGCTTTTTGGTGTTAAAAGAAAGTATATAATGAGACCATTTATCTTTTGTACAAGGTGGTCCCAAATAATCTTGACCACTGGATGTAAAATTAGGTGGTTGCATTTATTTCTTTGATCCAGCTCAAAGTTTTAAAGAACTTTTTTCAAACTTTGTAATATGATCAAGCTATCAAATTTCAAATCGGATGGTTATAAGTAATTGTGACATCCTTATATCAAACGTAAATAATCTTCTTCTATACAAATCCAAAACAAAAACAAGTGAATTGGTCGTTAAAATGGCAGCTGATAGAATTAATCTCCATTATTAGCTACAAGTAAATTAGTGTGGTTGGCAAAAGTCCAAATAATAAAATAAAGTTATTTTAATAGCATTTACCCACTGGGTATTGTGGTCCATGCCATTAGAGGCAGCACCCATGTTAGTTAAAGCACCACAACCGCACATGTCTTATACTGTGCAACGCAGTCCACATCATCACCTGTGGCCTTGTTGATGTATTTAAAATCCAAAACGCTGCCAAATAAAGGAGTGTAGAGAGAAAAACATTTCATTTTTTTCCATAAGATTCGGTGATCTTGAAGGAGCATGTCATTCATTTACTCCGTAAATAAAATTCAATCCAAGGGTATTTTTGGGACCCAAGATTTGGGGATATAACTTCTTGATGCTACAATTAACCTTAAATGAAAAAAAAAAAAAAAATCACACTCTGTATGTGCCTGGATGATGTCTAGTTGAACAAAGACAACTAAATTTTTGGAAGGTGAGATCTAATTTTTAGGGAGGTTTATAAAAAGGGTGCCGGTTTGAATAGAGCTGAATCTCTAAAGTAAAACGCACCTTCAAATAGTGCCAAAAAATGTAGTTTCAATATTGGAAATTTTTGTGATAGCTTTAAATATATTTTCATCTTTAGTTATCAAATTAAAGCTGCAAAAATAGTGTAGATCAAGCATATCTATGAAAACTTGAAAATCTTGAAAATTAGAGATCCAAAAATGTGTTACAAGATGCACTATTTCTAAAACATGAAATCCATTTTTTTTCTCATATCGATACATCTTGATATTTGGATGATCAATTTGAGGATATTTGCCCATCAAAACAACCTCTTATAATGAAATTTTTGAGGTGGGTTCTAATTTGATTATTTAGAACCTCGGCTTTATATAAACTTTTTTCTTATAAAAATACATAAGCGATTAATTATTTAATATAAATAATGATCCTACGAGACCTTCCCACACCCATATATGTAGGACCTCGACGGATCACCATTAAATTTGATATAGATATGTAGAAAAGTTATCACATGCGTGGCATTTGACTTTTTTAAAGATTCGTACCAAATTTAATGGTGATCCTTTGGGGTCCTATACATATGGGTATGGACAGATCTCACAAGGTCATTCCCCATTTAATATTTACTTATATCTTTTGATTTAATTTCAAAATCATCAAAATACACATAGTCATGAATTGGAACAGTCGAAAATTGATAAATCGTTAAAAGTTGGGTGTATTTTCATTAGGTGATTTTTTTGCTCACTTGATGGTGTGAGTCTCGCTATTTGGTTTTCGTTTAGAGTTCAAAACTTTCACTCTTTCACTCAATAGAACGTTTTATTTTTTCAAGTAATTCAATGGGGAGTAAGTTCCCTGACAGTGATAGAAATGAAACTCAAAGCGTTATATTGTGACGCTCTACTACCCCCGGACCACCTAACCATTAGCCATTCATACCTGACGGAGTGAGTCTACGTAATGATCTTGCGTGATCATAGTAATTTTTTAATACCATGGGACGAGAAGCCAATGTGAATGCTATCCCCCTTCCAACACAAGTCCACTACCGAATAAATGCATTATTAATGATTTTATTATACCGAATAAATGCCTATTCAATGAGTTGTTATTTTTACTTTATATTTATTTATCTGTTGGTTGTGAACCTGGAACCTTTTTTTTTTTTTTTGAAAAATGGTTGTGAACCTGGAACCTTGATAGGTCGCCTACCTGCTCTTATTAGAAAAAGTAATTTCTTCTCGGTGGGCTGATTCCAATTCCTGCCATTAAATTACTAAAATAACGTTAATGGGATTGTATATAATGAGATATTTACTTTTAGATACAAGGCTATCATATTATTTATAATCATGTGAAATCGTACTGTCGGGTATGTCACAAAATTTGAAAAATTTTATTTTGAACTTTGAGTTTGGTCAATGAAATAAATACAACCGCCCAATGTCATATACAATAATCGAGTTTAATTATGAATTCTTTATACCAAAGCTAAATGGTCTCATTATATACTTTCCAAAAATTATAATATAGATAACAAAAGTACAACACTATTTTTGCCACACTTTTTGCTATTATCAAAAGGAAAAATTCTATATATAGTCTGGGAGATCGCCAAACAAACTACAGTTGTATATCAAGACCCTGCTAAAAAATGTTATTTCGGAGTTGAAGAACGGTTAAATTGGTAAACCTTTATTGATAAAAAAAGGAAAATTTCATATAGAACCCTAATTTCTCATGTTATTTCATGGTAGACTTAGTTTCTGTTTTTATTTCAAGCAGCATAAAGAAACCCTTAAAGATTGCACCCCACCCCCTCATCTCTTATATTTTTTACCATAAAAATTAGCCTCAATAAATATTTTTATATCATTTCAACCCAAAAACTTTTTTAACCATATTTTTCCCTTTTCACCCATTAAAAAAAGTTTTGAGTTGAAATGGTATAAAAAGATTTTTTGGGGTTAATTTTTACGATCAAAAGTTAATTAAAGAGGGAGATAAGAGATGAAGGGTTATGGTGAAATCTTTAGAGGTTTCCTTATTCCGCTTGAAAAAAAAATGAAAGGAAGTTACATTAAATTTCATATTTTAAAATAGTGTATCTTATAAGGAAAAAGTTTATATAATGATGCAACCTTGTAGTGTAGAACTATGGATGAACTTGAAACATCCATCGGAAAAGGTAGTTTCGATGTTGAAAAACGCTTTGATTGATCATCTTGACATCGAGATGTATGACCATGAAAAATGAAAAGATTTTAAGTCCCATAAATAGTGCATTTTACAACATATTATCTACACTTTTTATTTTCAAGATTTTCATATGCTTATAGATCTACTT